AGCTAGATTTCTTTCTTATTGTAGCATTTTTAGTTCATTGCAACCGTGTCCATAACCCTTCGGTTACTCAACTACCAAAACTATATATGCTATTGAAAGTTTAACTCACTCTTCCGGAGGATACACTGCTTTGCTCCGTTGCATAATCATTTTCAGCTCCTTCATCCATGCAATGAATTCCTCCGTCCCGATGTTCTTCACACGGTCAGCACAAAAATCCACAAAACGTGAAAGTGTGGGATTTTCCTGCGATCAAATGTAATAAATTCAATGAGAACTCGTCAAATGCCCCCACAAAGCCAAACTGCGTCATACTGCCTCTACTCGTGATTCATGAAACCACAAGCAACTTACAGCGTAATGAACGGCACGCCTAGGGTTGAAACCAAGTTGTTGGTACTTCACGTAACTTGGCTCAGATGACACTGATGCTGCACATTCCGTTACCCACTCCGGCCGAATCTGGGTACGAGGAAACTAGCCACAGCAAGTAAGAGAAGGAAAGCACGTGGAGTGTTGTCCATGTGACTTTATTTGAACCAAGCTTACCTTGAGAAAGGGTAGATTGGGTTCAGGAATGAAGCGGTAGTCCGTGATTTCTTCTTTATCTCGCATAGAAAAGGTGCGCCTGGAAGAATATACTGTAGGAACAACTTCGCTAGTTCATCTCATTTACACAACAATGATGTAGCATTATTTACTGAAAAACCTTCCTGTGAAGATGGCCCGGACCAGGAGACCCTGATTGCGACAATGTACAGGAGCTAATTATAAGTCACCGCTGCGGGGATGTGGCAAGGCAATCGGAACAGGCCACGCCAATGATCGTGGTGAGCGACGTCGCGCCTGATGGACAAGCTGCACTGCCGGGCCAGTTGAATTTTAGTGTTAAAAGACGGGAAAGAATTGGTATTACTCGTCATGGAGTCTTGTCGCCTTGACGTCTTGATATGTGATCTTTGTTGCACCAGTCGACAAATAAGGCACATTGAGGATTTGCCGCGCATCGCCGCACGTCGCGCAAGACGAATTACGATTTTCTTAGCTCGTCTCCCGCTTCGGAAAGGGAACCAACTGCTCTGAGTGGAAAAAAATAGGACCGCACTTACATTAGTTCCGATTTTGAGCAAAGAGTCCTTTAAACCGCCAGACCTCTCGTTGTGATAATCATAACGGGAGGGTCGTATTTGACCGCGAGGGTATTGCGTCGAAGAGGTGAGCTTTTCGTCTTCGTGTCGTCCGAAAATGTCGCAACGACTTTTCGAATGGCAGCCTATGGAAAAAGCGAGGTATATTCAGGGAAACGAATCTTTTAGGTTCCGGCATTGTTCTTCGTTTTACGAAGGGTCACATATGAAGAAAGTTGTAGCTATTTAAAGCATAAAAACTCGCAGGTGACTCTAAAATGTCACAACGGGGAAAGTTCCTCAAAGAGGATGTCTTCTGAAATCGCTAACTCTTTTAATAAGTGCCAATCTAGTGCTTCACAGCCCTGCTTTCCCTCTCTTTAGAACTTCATTCTCGAAGAAGTTGCGGGTGTTCAAGTAAAAATTACCGCCGGAGTGCTTGGCTTAAAACTAAATTCGTAGCGCGAAAGGTTGTCTATTACCACGGCATGCGCTACCTGCAACTTTGGATGGCCGCAAACAATTGATATTCAAGTGTGGCACGGTGGGGATGGTTTCGAAACCCTTCTTTGGTGGAAGGGAGTCATATTTAGCCAAAATTCATCGCAAGACGATGGCGTGCCCGGCCCTCTCCTCCCCTCCTCAGCGCCCAAAAACGAAAACATTTTTTACCGTGCAGTGGCCCGCACTATATAATGCTCACCCGTGTTCATCGCATGTCCTTGTCTCGTTGACCACTCTATTTCCACTCGATATCACTTCATATTGCCGATTAATCTCAAAATTGATGGCAGTATGTAAATGCCGCAAGCTGTTGATATTCTTCACCTTAATACAATTCTTGAAACATTTGCAGGAATTTGTAGAAATATATGAAAGCTCCAAAAATTATAAATAATTAGATAAATAAATAAGTAAATAAACAACAGGATAAATAAATAACGGAATAAACATTAGATCGAACAAAGGCTTGTAAACGTAAAGGATAAACCTGAGAGCCTTCTGCAATGTTGTTTTTATAATTTTGTAGTTGTTATTTTTATGTGATTCTTTCTACTGTTGTTTTTTCTTTGTTTGCTATTTACATCAAGCATTTATTAAGCGGAGCTTGGTGAGAACAACTGAAAGCAGAAGCAGAACCACTGACTCTATGGCCACGTTCATACTTCGCGACTAGAACGATTCAAACGTGCACCACTTGACTGCGAGCGACCGCGCTCCACTGGTTGCCATTGGACTGTTACAAACGGTCAAAAGACGTTTGTTCCGGTCACTGAATAAGCAGTCCAATGATTAATGCAACAGTCCAACGATTAATGGCGGAACGCGGTCGATCGCAGTCGTGTGATTTCTAAACCGCGCGACTACCCTGAGTCGCGAAGTATGAACGCGACCTATCTTACTTACTAGCAGTATAAAAATCCAGTGCTATTGGTGTAATAAGAAGGCAACCAAGAAGAAAGCAAGGATATATTTGACCAAAAGTTTACTTTGAAAATCCAGAATAGATTACCTCAGTTCTAACTCCTTTATTCCCTCCATGTGACAGGGATACATTCGCATCAACACGCAGATGGCCTTCTGAATAAAGATTCCTTTATTCAATGGTTTATAAGCCCCAGATGCTGTTTACTGGGAAACTTTTGGATGCGCATTCACACTTCCAGATTTAGTTAAGGCGTTTTCAGGACACAAGATGGGGAAAAAATTGCTTCCAAGACTGCAGATGAAGAGATTGAGCAAAAGGAATAACTCAGGTTTCCAAAGGTTCGTTCATCAAAAACTCAAAATTTCTCTCTTAACTTGGCCTACGAGACAAAGACATAGGCGTAGAACGCGCAGTCTCTACATTTCAAGCTGACAGCTATCTGCCTTGAAGACTCAGCGTTAAGGTGAGGGACGCAGTTCGGCTTGGTGGGGGCATTTTGCTGGTTCCCACCGATCACTGCCGATGTCTCATGTGTAGGCCCGTAAAACCCTGTAAAGGCATGCAATAGAAGGAGCTTCGTTCGCATTTGACCACAGTCTACAGGTCTCACCAAGGTATGACGTGTAATTTACCAGCGACTAGCAAAAGAAAGTAGTGAAAGCGCCGAATGTCCCTCCCAAGCGTCCAGCTGAGCTTTTTTTATCCATAGGCGAGGTTTGCAGGTCCGGAGCTGTAGGAGGGTACCGCTCACCACACAGAAATCTGTGGCAGTGAAAGCTGTAGGGTTCTGGCAGTAGGATGTTCTTTTAATTTTACGATCGCCATAAGCGCGGTGAGTATGTTGCCAACACGTTCCGCGATAGCTGGGCGGCGCGAGTAAGATCCGACCAAAGTGTAGGCATACTGCTCCGGACAGGGAAAAACACTGGACTGCAACAGCGTCCGATTAAGAGTGAGAGAGCGTAGACCAATTGTCAGGCTATGGCTAGACGCATAGACGCTTTGTGGTGTGTTGCGGCGTTTGTCCGCACTGGCCGGACCTGCCATCATTCAAGGATGGATTAACTTTACAACTGAGCTTACAGTACGCATATAAAGAAATTTGATTACTAACGTACTATGCATTTCTCCTCGACATATACCATGATGCATGAGAAGTAAACGAAGCTGCTGAACAAAACACATGGCTTCCAGCGCTGACGAGAAATCCGGTTCGCTAACAATTTCAACCAGTGGAGCACCTGTAAGCACTATCACATTCACAGAGCGATACATCCTACTATATATATCCGCCGCTATAGTACGTCTGTTGGCGGTGTGTGTGTGTGTGTGTGTGTGTGTGTGTGTGTGTGTGTGTGTGTGTGTGTGTGTGTGTGTGTGTGTGTGTGTGTGTGGGGTCACGAAATTCATAGCGCCGTCCTAAAGCACGAGATATGATTTCAATAAACGTTGTAGGGCGTGCGACGGGAACACTATTGGTGGGTGACAGGAAGTGATATCAGTTGATAAGATTCGATAACAGGCGTTACACGGAGTCTCCATATTGATCCAACCAGCGGTGGCGCATCATTACTCTTGATTCCAATATAATATATGGTATAGGGCCACGAACATTATGGCGGTGACAAAGAACTGTAATTCTGATAAATTCGATAAGGGGCATTAAATGTCGTCATCGTGTTCATAGGCAGTTGCACACGATAGCGGTGCCCTCGTTCAGCGATGAGTATGAGGTAGACTGGACAGTCACCGTCGGGTGACTGAAGGCGAAACTACTGAATAGGGCTGATAGAGAAGCAGCGTCGCGTTTCGGGGGTTCACGGATACGAATCTCAGAGATTTGGCGATGAGGACATTGATGACGTGACGGGTAATCTTACCAATCGATAAAAACGGACAAGATACTATGTGCGCTACATTCTTAACACTTTTACCGCTTTAATGCCAAGTATTAGAGGCTCAGTACGTGAACTCTTTCCTTCGATGCACGGAATCAAGGTCGCCCATTCAAGTGTTCGCTATTAGATGCGTGAAATGGTGTCGAGGGCGGGGGGGGGGTGTATATAGTGGTCGGGGGGGGTGTATATATAGTGCGCCTGAAACGGGAAAATCGAGAAATTCACCAATCAAAAAATTTTCGCAAATCTGCCTGCTATGTGATGTTGATGTGTTAGGAGGTGGCGGTCGCTATTGAAGCAAAATAAGGAGTGAACCCAACAATTTGCATAAGTAACCAGATGTTGGTAGATAATGACTGATGTTGAGCTTTTTTCAACTCATTTTTCTGGAGTTTCAATGAAAAAACAGCCTTCTTTTGGCACGTTTAGGCATTCGACCTCGCCCAACGAAATTTTCTGGCGAAGCCAGGTCGGCCAGGCTTAGCCGAACCGTGAAACAGAAGGAGGAGCACCCGGCGGCAGCCGGGTGATCGACTGGTTTAATATACATTTTTAGGAAGAAGTGGAAATTTACACTGAAAAATTTCTTACTGGTAGCATTTGAACAAGCGAATTGATGAAAGCAAACCTGCACGATTGAGATCAATAAGAGATGATTGTCCGAAGTGAATCGTTTTTCCGCTATCTTGTTCAAGCTGCAGTTGTGTAATGCGGACCTGTAACAAAACCTGGTAGTATTGTCAGGGATTCCCCAGTTTTGTTTACTGCGAATAGTAGAGCCTGTCAAGGGGAATGGACTTGGCGCGACACCCGTTTTTTTCTTTTGGCCAGCAACAAGATTGAATCATATCGTTCGTACCAGCCGTTTTCCTCCAGTTGTTGCCAATCACTGTGAGCTTTTAAAGCTGGTGGAGAGCGGGCTGGCGAAAACTTAGCCGCGCTACACCCCAAAACCCGCAGCCAACCAGACTGTAATAATTTCCGGTAATTCAATACTTTTCATTATTTGACTACGCTAGTAAACTGGAGCCAAAAGCGCTTATATGAATTGCGACTGCATGCACTTCTTATCTGACGGTAGTGCGAGGCGTAGCTGGCAGCGAGGGTCCAGACGGCAGAGGGGAAGAGACGTATGTGTAAAAGGAGAGGGTCGGCATGGGAACCCGCTGTCGTCGTAGGGTGTCCCCTTTCAGCTCCCGTTATTTACTGTACTAACCGTTCATATCTCGAAGAAGAGTAAATGCGCTAGTTAAGCGCCATAAAGCTGAGAGCAACCATTACCCAGGCCTGTCGCTGGCTGGATCTGTAATTCGGCGCAGTTCAGCTTAGTGAAGCAACAAGTGGTACCCCGTGAACCTTGGTAAAAACCTGTAGCCCCTGTCACTGAGGTTGCTCGATCGTACGTTTTCGCAGTTTCACGAGAGTTTACAGGTCACAATGAGATCTGATAATTCACGTAAAATAACCAAAGGAACCGGCAGAGTGTCCCTCCCAAGCCGAACAGCTGTTGTGATCGAATGTACATCCGAAAGGACATGTTGGGCGTACTCCATAGCACTCTCATCCCCATTCTCCAGTAAATAGTGAGGGATAGTGGGGGTCCAGAGAACGTTGACTAGTTAAGAGCGACATGTCGTTACTGGGTTTCTGAAGGTCAATAGAATTACCGTTCAATAGGACAGCATCGCTGTTTATGTTGGACAGTTAAAACAAAATGCCAAGCCCCTGAAAGGTTAAAGGGACACGCGATTTCACGCTTTTCCCATCCGTACCAGGAAAAGATTAGCATGCAAGAGCAAACGAGCAAAGTTCCATAAAACTCCAGCAGAATGAAATACTCGGAGAATATTGTCAGAATCCTATTTCTGAAAAGCTAACAGCCACTAACCTCCTTGTTGTACGTTGGAATGTCCTCTGCATAGACGGAACCTTAAATTTCCGTTCCGAAGCCACGGTTTGCGCTATTTGTGTTATTTGATAACTGTCAAAATAGAAAGCATAAATTGCGAATCCACTCTCAAAAATGGGTGTTCCAGAAGGTGCGAGAGCTCCGATAGACCTCTAATGGGAAGAGAGTTACTTACCCAGCCGGCATATCAGCATAGAAATAGTGTTTTCTATCGAATCGGCAATATGGTGGAATTTCGCAGTTCAAAAGTTGTGCCATTCGTAAGGCATGCTGAAAATGGTAAATTTGCAGTTAAGGAATTTGAAAGTTAGATTCCTCTAACAACCAGGAGAGGTGGAAACATGCTGGAGGCAGGAGCCTTCCACCGGCGCCACAGGACAAAACAGGAGCACAAATTGTAAAGAAAGCAACACCCTCTCACCATTACACAACTTTTGTTTAAGCAATCGGGGCAAGCAGTTCCGCAGCGTAGCCATTGTCAAACGCTGCACAACTTGGCTATATTGAGTGAAATTGCATCATTGTCATGCGGCGTCGCGAAACAACTTAAGTCTTTGTCGTTTTAGCTGGACATGAACCTGAAAGTGCTTCTATCAGAAGCGATAATCGAACGACAGCGCTTAGCGGAACAAATAAACGGCTTTCCCGGAGTGATCTTAATTGTAACACTAAGTAACCGAATGGTTTCAATTACGAGTCGTGAAAAAGTCTGAATATTTATTTAAAGGCAACGCCCTCTTTACCCACTAAGCTGTTATTCGTTGGGAAATTCCCCAGCTGGTAGATGAGAGCATAAAGGCGGTATTATACTTATTCTCTTCATCTCTCCACTGGCGCGTGTGTTCACCTTTAATAGGTCAAGGGATGGGAACCAATCAGTGGGCTAGGTTTTTCAACCACTTGTCCCACCTTTCCTAGATGTAGAGAAAGGTGGGACAAGTGGTTGAAGAACCTTTCAACACATAACGGTCGCTCCTTCTTCCCACTATCTTCCGCTTCCATTGAGACGTACAATCACGATCCTTACAAATGACAGGGCGTGCTATGGCGCATATTGCAGTGCAGCTATGGCGCCTTTTTCCATTAATGATGTCATCCTGAGCCCGATACAGCTTATGGGAGATCTGAATGAGCTCGAAGCCGTGCCCTCGCCACACGCCCTATCGTTTGCAGGGGCATTCATGATTTGATTGTAAGTAGTCCGTTCCTGTAATCACCTGAGCGAGACGATCAAGACAATCTGACGACAGGACGTCCTTCGGGTCGCGTGCCGCGATCGGATAGAGGCATTTCCCCAACGAGTTGTTGAGCTCGTAGCTTAGAACAGCGGCGTTCAATGAATATCTTACGATGTGTCGTATTATGGGTATTTCTAACCATCACTTCCACCTGATAGGCTGTCGCCGTCAAACGGACTCAATCGTCGCTTGTGGAGCAACATCGCACACTACGCCTTTGCCAGCGCGAGAATTTACTAACGCGTCTTAGTTTACATTTTTCCCCATCTACCTACTTCAACAATCTGAGTCACTGCAGCTAATCCCGCGATCAAAATTTGCGGTGTGACCTTCAGCGTCAGCAACTCTGCGTGACGAGCTCTAAGCTTAGGCAACGTCGCGCGCTGACCTCTTCCCATCCCCTTCTCTTCACAGTGGACAGGATACGGGAAAACCCAGGCAGAGCAGTCGCAAGCAAACTTTAGGACTAACATTGCACTATCAATACATGTCAGTGACTCAGTAGAAGCTTCCACCTCTTAAACCTTATCACGGACCGGACGAAAATCTTCGCGAGGAAGCTGAGCGAGCTGCGACAGTCTGCATCTCAAAATCTGCCATGGCAGTCGGCGACACCTCATAAAAACTGCAAGATGCGGAACGAAAAGGCTGCATAAAACAGTTTAACTTCAGCATTCAGAACAACAAATTCAACTGCCAGAGAACCCTAGGGCAGATGTCCGGGTGACCTCACTATGATACCCATACATACTTCATAAATAGAACTTTATATCTAAACATTATTTGGTGAAACAACTGCTTTCCTTACACACGAGACAGCACAACATTGAACAGATTCTGTCTCTGTGAAGAGAAGGCATAAACTCGAAAAGAACACTGGAAAAATAAAACCCAAACGAAACCGATAAAGATGTAACAATCACTCGTCATAAACCTCGCAACAACTTATCAACTTTTCAAAAAAAGAAGCTCAAGGCAAACAAAATCAACAATATTAATTAACAGACAAAATTGTATTGATGGGTTCAAGTGCCATATCGGCGTTCTTGACCACTCGACGTAGTGCTGGCTGCAGCTCATTCAGGACCATCTTTGCTGCTCCCTCAACCGATTGCAGGTACTTCTGGAATCACACCAGTCATAAGTAGCGCGATAACAATAAGGTAATTAGGAGATTTAAAGTTCGCAGCACTAATTTTGGCACTCTTGTCCATCCCTACCCTATTTTCTAGAGCAATTCTCTCGAATGTTTCGCACGAGAAAACAGCTTTATTCTCAAAACGTCAATGACTATACAAACTGGCTTCATCTCCGTGCAACTACTAACGGTTAGACCAAAGTCAGTTTTGTTAAGGACGCGGTTCGCGCTCACAGTATGGGCGGAGACACCAAACTGCCGTATCTTCTTCACTGATTGGCGTCTCTCGACAATGAGGGGAAGGGGCGAGTTAACTGTCCCTACCCATACGACCAGCATGAGCTGCGTTTTTACGTTCCCGTCGCTTTGAATTGGGACTCGCAAAAAATAAACAAGACCATCTTTTGCGATAACAAATCGTATCTTCAATGAAATGCAAACTATGCGGAATCACAACCGAGCTTAATAAGCGCAAAGAAATAATCTAAAAAATAGAAAAACAAAATATTCGATGAAACAATGTCATGAACATACGTTAAAGCCATCCTGACTTTCAATGAAATGAAATGCGTACACCAATGCGAGCTCAGATGCCGACCGAACAGCTGTGTTACTCTCCTTGGCCCCGTTCGCCAAATGTGGAACAATCAACTGAAATTCAAGCGTGAAAACTCATTTCAGCATGGTACTATGATCCAGCTGCTCAGAACGTAGGAAGTATTTACTTTGAGAAGTTCGCTGTCAAGTTGCTCTGGAGAGGAATGGAGCACATGGCCAAGTACCACTGCAGACACCCGTCGTACTTCAACTGACTGATGGCTGAGCGATCGACCCAAAGCTGCCAGAAGATCTCGATCGATGCTTGGGCTTTGACTAAAATCACTCCAGTACAGATTTGAAGAGAAGGTTCTCTTTTTCCGAATCTGAATTTGGATTTTTCCGAATTTGAATTTAGAACTATCCTGGTAGCGGTTGGACTGTTTCGGTCGCGAGATCCACGCTGCGGCAACTTGCACAAAAATAGCTAATATTCCCTTACTGATCGACTCAAAAGGCTGTGGCACCTCCGTCCGTTATGAATCAGGTTCTGATGCAACATCCCACCGGTGGCACGACTTCGCCTTTCCCGCTTCGCCGCATTGTGAATCTCCTAACCGACTCTCCAAATGGGTCAATTTCCATGGGAGTTGCGAACTCTACGAGCGCGCTTATTTAAAAACATGATGTAGTAGAATACACCAAGAGCTTGCTGGGAATAGATGACGATACTGACGTTAAACAACACGCTAGTGACGCAATCAAGACGTCACTGGCAATGATACAATAAGTTCCCTCGTTATTAACGTCTTAACCGCTGACTCCTGACAAGAAGGTGACGGTTTGTGCACCCTGCCCATCCATGAGTCTAGTTGAGAGAAATATCTCGACTAATTTTCTGAGATCAGTTTTAAAACCACAAAATGAATAACTACTGTAAGACCTGATCAGAACGTGCGCAGCAGCGCGTAGAGCAGCACATGCAACAGGAGTTTCGGCGGTGAATGCAGCTGTGAGGGCGGATCGGCATGCGCTCTCCGCCTCGGACCACACTGTGGATGCATCAGTCTGGAATAGAGCCTTCAGCCTTACGAATATTACAAAACTAAATATGGATCATTAGAATCCTAGCAATAAACATGTTAGACGCATACCTGACACATCTGCTGCAATGCTATAGCCATCGCATGACGTACCCGTGGCTTTGAGCAACTCTCTACATCTAAACAACGAATTGATTACTATTCGACAGTTGAGCAAGACGTTGTTCGGCTTGGAAGGGACATTTCCGAATCTTGCTAAGTCTCTTTGCTAGTTCACGTTAAGTAACAGGTCTTCATTTCAGTGAAACCTGTTAATATCTTTAAGCCAAGGAATGGTACAAGTGAGCCACTTTGGTCGCAAGAATTTACACATCTCCACAAGATGGCCCGTACAAGCTTTGCTGAGTAACAGTTAGTGCCCCCACCAAGCCGGTCTGCGCCTTTAAGCTAACTAATAAAGCTGGATTAACTCTATAACCTCGGAAGATATTCTTTGAGCAGAACTCTTTTGTCCTGATCGCTAGTTCTCCATACAATGCTCCACTGCATACAGTTAGCGACGTGTCAAGTTCAGTGGGAGTGTCCAATGGCACCTTAAAAACACAGCTGAATTTCGGAAAGTAAGAAGTCTGGACAGAATAAAGCGTACCGTGTACTGGAGTTCGCATACTCGATACCCTTCTTGAAT